GGCCTAGACCCTTCTTCAGAAGAAGGGTCTAGGCCCGAAACGTCAGCCTTCCTGCTCCTCTGATGCTGCTTGGCCTGCTGTGTTCATCCAGCTCTACACCATGTTATCTCAGATTCTCCAGCATCTGCAGTTCCTACTATCTCTAATCTGTTTGTATGTGGTTTCCTGGTTACGTGTTTCTTAAATTATGGTATTACATGTTCATCTTCCAAACTGTGCGGTGTACTAGACCCTAATTGGAAGGTTACAAACAAGGCATCTACTATCTGCAGCCATCTGTTTTAGAACACCAGGATGTAGGCCTCAGGTACAGGTAATGTATTGGTTTCTCCTAAATTTCTCTAAGATTTTGTTCTTTCTCAAAACTTCTTATTCCCTATTCCCCAATTGTCATTAGCCCCTTGGTCCCCCACTGTGTTTGAAGGTATTGTTTTTAATGTCATTATTGTAAAGATATATGCAAGATATTTCTTTAACTGCTTTATGATGAGGCTTAGCAGCAATGTCAGTAACAGTGAGTGATAAGTCCTTCAGTTTACTTCACAATATCAATTTTTCTATTTTGGCTGCTCTACCAGATCCAACAGAAAATGTGGAATTTCAGCACCGGCCCAATGTATTGAAAGAGACAGATAATGTGATCCTAGAGTGCAACTCCGATGGCTCATCTTCTGTTGAATACACCTTTTACAGAGTGCAGGTGAGGAGCTGTTTTGGTGTCTGTGTTGCATATCTAGCTTTTTAAACGAGAAATTTACGGTTTGGAGGGATCATCAGGGAAATTTGACCATCTTAACAAAAAAAACAATTCCTCCCTCAGCCCACTTATTTTTTTGTTCTTCTTTCTTAATATTGAGAACTGAATTGAATATAATATATTATTACTAATAGTGCCTTCTACCATGCATTGGTGAATCCACATATTGATTTTCAGTGGTTAATTTTTAGAAGTCATGCATCAAAGCTTAATTCTGACCCTTCCTAATATCCACAGTTTCTTACAGAATTAGTTAGCTGTGTTTTTTAAATATATACCACCACAGTATATAATCTTTGCTGGCTAGGACAACATTTATTGCTGTTGAAGATTCCTGAACTGCTACAGTCTTTCCTAACTGCTGTTCAGAAAAGAGTTCAGTATTTTGACAGAGTAAAGTGAGAACAGCATGTGGCTCATAGGGAAACTTGCTAGTGCTAGCGTTCCCTTGCATCCGCTGCCTTTGTCTTTCTAAATGGTAGAGATCGCTTGTTTGGAAGGTGCAGAACGATGAGAAGTAGGAAATTTTAATTGTTCTAATCTCACCACTGATCACTCTTCCCCACAAACTGTCTACTGTTCATACCAAATCTAGTTGAAGTGCCAATTGTGTTTTGGAAATTATTCTGCAGAAAGAATTTGGAAAAAGATTATTTTTGAAGATTTTAAAGTGTCATGTGATTTGACCGTTTTAAAAGCAAACTATTACAGTAGCTGGTTAAAACATCGAGGATTTGATCTTGGCTGAGTTTCCTCAGTGGTACAAAGAGAAGAAAGAAAGCAACAGGAAGCAGCTCCCTAACTAAAGACGGTGGAGCCTGGATCTAAAATAAAGTAGACTGCACAACAGGATAAAATAACTTGTTTTTTGTCCAAACTGCTTCCCGCTCATTCCTGTGGCCTCCCAATCATCACCCAGCCTTCCCTATCACTCTCAGCCAAAAAGGAGGTTGGCATGTGTACTACTCTGCCCCTCTCCCATGGCTGTCCACCCCCTCACTCCTACACCTGGCCTCCATCTCCATCTCTGGTCTTTGTCCCATTCTAGCTGGGCCCCCAGCCACCACCCCATCCAGACCCTCCTTCAGCAGTGTGACATCATTGGCACGTGTGTAGATACTTCCTTTGGCCTGTCCTGTCATGGCCATTTGACATCACTGACAACATCCACTCATGCATGGCAGCCATATTGTGTTATGGATAATCATTCCATCTGACCTTACAACATTTCCCCAAAGATTCTAAAGACTAGAAATAATGAGTAACATGTTAGTTTCAAAAGTTAATTAACTTCTCACTGTTGTGTCAAGACACTTCTGAGCCTTTTATGTGTGAGCATCAGTGGGAAACATGTAAAGAGTGGTTGATTAGGTGTATTGTACATATTACAATAAAGACTGTAAGGCCAACACAGCAAAGGCTGCAAAGATGCCAGAATACATTGAGTAATTAGAAATTATGTAGTTTTTTAGATAGTATTTATTAATTATTTTGTTTTATTGTGTGAAAGCAACCTAAACAAAATTAATGTAAAGAAATCAAAGTGGCTGCTCTATTCAGAAATAAAGCAGCTGAATACTTTGTGTCTGATCTTGTCTTTTCAACGACATTCATAAAAGAAATTGAAAATTTGCACCTGTAGAAGACAAACAACCAATTCATATACAGGATAATATTGTTACACTCCATGTTGCAATCTTTATCGTTAGCTATTGGAAGCTAATATAAGAATTAAGCGTAAGCTGTTCAGATTTTTGTAATATTGTACTTGGAAGAATATCTAAGTCAAGGTATGAATTTGTATCTTTAAAATACAGTCACTGCTAAATCTCACAACCTAGCAAGCTAACAACAGCCAAAATACTGTCACTAGATCATGCATTGTACCTACCAATCATCAAATCTGGGTGCATTACATAAGTTTGTACTTTCCTCCAACATTTTCATTTTGTGCTTACAGAAGAAACTTAATATTCTGGCAATGTAGTGGAAATGAGCTCCTTCAAGATGCAAGCTTAAATGTTAAACATGCAGGAGCTAAAGATAAGTGGAAGTTGTTGGAAAAGCTCAGCAGATCTGGCAGCATCTGTGAAGAAAAATCAAATTTAACCTTTCAGGTCCAGTGCTTCCTCAGAAACTGATGGTAGCTAGGAAAATGTTGGTTTATATGCAGAAGATAGGGTGGGAGAAGGGGTAAGGAGTAAATGATAGGTGGGGATAGAGCCCAAAGCGAGTGAAGAACAGTTGGATAGACAAAGGAGTTGATACGATTTCGCTGGGAGGGTGAGTAGCTGTTAATGGGGACTGTTAGTGACTAACAATAAGTGGTGTGTAATGGCAGGCTGTGATAATAAGGCCTGGTGTGTGGGGTAGGGGTCTGGAATATGGGAGAGTTCAAGCCCTAAAATTATTGAACTCAATTTTGAGTCCGGAGGGCTGTGGGGTCCCCAAGTGGAAAATGAGGTGTTGTTCCTCCAGCTTGCGTTGTGCTTCGTGGAACACTGCAGCAAGCCAGAGACTAGAGATGTTGGCCAGGAAACAGGGTGGTGTGTTAAAGTGACAGGCAACTGGAAGCTCAGGGGTTTTTAATGGGGACAGAACGTAGATGTTCTGGGAAGCAGTCACCCAGCCTACACTTCATTTCCCCAATATAGAGGAGTCTGCGTTGCGAGCAGCGAATGCAGTAGACTAGATTCTGGGAAGTGCAGGTGAAGTGTTGCTTCACCTGGAAGGTATGTTTGGGCCCTTGGATAGTGGGGAGGGAGGAGGTAAATGGGCAGGTGTTACATCATCACCAGTTTCAGGGAACGGTGCCATGGGGGTGTTGGGGGTGAAGGAAGTGAACCAGGGTGACCTGGAGGAATGGTCTCTGTGGAAGGCAGAAAAGGGAGGGGAATATGTGTCTGGTGGTGGCATCTTGCTGGAGGTGACGGAAATGGTGTCTGATGATCTCGTGGATGTGGATGCTGGTGGGATGGTGGGTAAGGACAAGGGGAACCCTATCGCTGTTGCGGGAGGGAAGAGAAGGGGTGAGGGCAGAAGTGCGGGAGATGGGTTGGACCCGGTTGAGGGCCCTGTTGACAACGGAGCTGGGGAATCCTCGGTTGAGGAAGAAGGTGGACATTTCGGAGGGTCCCTTGTTGAAGTTGGCCTCATCTGAACATATATGACGAAGTTGGAGGAACTGAGAATGGGATGGAATTTTTACAGGAAGCAGGGTCTGAGGATGTATAGTCCAGGTAGCTGTGGGAGTCGGTAGGTTTACAGTGGATATTAGTGGCCAGTCTATCCCCAGAAATGGAAACAGATGTCAAGGAAGGGAGGAGTCAGAAATAGACCAGGTGGAAATGAGGGCACGGTAGAAATTGGAAGCAAAATCGATGAACTTTTCTAAATCCGGACGAGAGAGGGAAGCAGCACCAATGATATCATCGATGTATCAGAGGAAGAATTGTGGGTGGTGACCGGAACAAGGAATGTTCCACGTACCCCACGAAGAGACAGGCATAACTAGGGCCTATGCAGGTACCCATGGCCACCCCTGTGACCTGAAGAAAATGAGAGGAGTTAAAACAGAAATTGTTGAGGGTGAGGATGAGCTCAGCCAAGGGGAGAAGCGGAGACCCCCAGAACCCTCCTGGTGGGGAATGGACATGTAAAGGGATTCCACATCCATGGTAAAGAGGAGGCGGCTGGAGCCTGCAAACTGGAAATTTTGAAACCGGTGTAAAGCGTCAGAAGAATCACAGATGTCCATGGGCAGGGACTGGACCAAGGGAGAGAAGACTGAGTCCAAGATAGGAAGAGGTAAGTTCTGTGGGGCAGGAGCAGGCTGAAACAATGGATCTGCCCGGGCAGTCCTGTTTGTGGATTTTTGGGAGAAGGTAGAAGTGAGCTGTGCAGGGCTGGGGGCGCTATCACCTTGGAGGCAGTGGGGAGAAGGTCACCAGATGAAAAGATATCATTTACTGTAGTTGATATAATGGCCTGATGCATCATGGTCGAGTCATGGTCCAGGGGAAGATAGAAGGAGATATCTGAGCATCTGCAATGTAGGATAAGTGGAGTTTAATTATTATCTTAAATATAGTCCTTGTTTCATGTAGCACACTTCCTGTAACAATTTTCCCCTATTGCACTTTGCCAGTTTGCCAGAATGGAATTGCTTTATTTACCCAGTGTATTTTAGTAGTCCTGATCATACAGTAGGTAATACACAGTATATTGTTATTAAGATCTAACTTTCAAACATAAACCACCTGCATTTCCACAGGACTGCATGACTGCTTCGATTACCACTGAACCAACAAGAAAGTCCAATTTGACTAATAAAATACGTTGGATTTTCATGTTGGACGTGGAACTAATCCTGCCTCTGTTGTCGGTTTGCTGGGTTGCAAGTTGTAACAGTCCCAGGGTCTTTGTTAATTGGCAATAATGTAGCAGCAGACCCAAGGCAGTGATGGAGGTGGGTTGATTCCACAGCAGGTTGCTTCAGTTCCATGCAGACAGGAGAGCCTGGCATGGAGGGATTTTGAGTACTCTAGTCCTTCTAACAAAAATGAAACATATCTTTAAATATCACTTTATTAGACTCTCCAGATAATTCAAATTACTGTGTAACCTATTGTCCCTTTAATTGAGTTCTAATAGCAGGTGGCCCACTTTCCTCTCTGACAATTTATGGGAAGTGACCCTGGTTCAAATGTGTTCTCAATTTCCCTATCTTTCAGAATGACTTCCCTACTTTCCGCAATAGGCTGTGCACTCATAGCAGCAACGTAAAATTAACTGCTATCATGTATCATTGGAATTCTCAGCTGTCATGTTGTTCTTTTAGGGGCAGTTGGTATAACAGTATGCTATACTTGGATTAGGGGAGTATTATCATTATGCCCATACTCCAATAACAGATTAAATAAGAGTTTTCTTTTTAAAGTAAA